TGTTGCAGGTGGACCCCATGCTGACCCTGGAGGAGCAGCAGCTCCGTGAACTGCAGCATCACGGCTATGAGAACCCCACCTACCGCTTCCTGGAGGAACGACCTTGACCTGGCCCCTTCACCCTTTCCACTGAGCCCAGACCTTCCCTCTCCCTGGAGCCCCAGAACCCCAACTTCCAGCCTGGGGGGGAGTCATGAAAAGTTCATTTCACACCCTTTGGTGGGGGGGCTGGAAATTCTCATTTCCCCTTTTTATCGCTAAGAAATCCCCGGGTATCCCCAGCCACCTCCCTGCTTGGGACCTCCTCACTTAATTTATTTTGTAAGTTTATTTATGGTTCCTTCAGGTGACCACCGCCTTGGCCCTAGCGTCTGTTGTTCCCTGGATTCACCCTCCCACATTTTTCCCACTAACGCCTCAGTAAAGTTCCTTTCCCCACCAGGCCATCCTGTGTCTTTGTGGGGGAATCAGGGTGTAATCACAACTCTGGGTGCTAGTGTCCATCCCTGCCCAGGCCTCCTTCACCTCTTTAAGCTGGATGAGGGATCTTTAAATTCCAGCAGGGCTTGCGAGAGGGCCTGGGCTGGCGCGCAGGAGGCGGGGCCCAGAGATCGTGGATCGGCTCTCGGCGCCAACTGGGAGCTTTCCGCGGTGCTGAACGAGCCGCGACTTCTCGGCCTCTGCGTGTTCCCAGGGTGGGACCTGGGAAGGCTGGCCCCTGACGAGTTTTCCTTGCCCTCTACCTCACCCTCACACACAGTGTCCACCCCCAGCTCCCCCAAAGCCTTCATTGCTTCTTAGGGAGTAGGTGGGAATCCCAGTCACATGTCCAGGATGTGATGTCTGCCAACCTAGTGGAACTCACATCCTCACTGATCCCATTTTGTGACGCGCTGGAGTTAGCCCTCTACATATGCCTGTCCCCAAAGTGCAGTTGGAGCCCTGGTGGCGCAGTGGTTAAACGTTCAGTTGCTAACCAAAAAGGTCGGCTGTTTGAATCCACCAGCTGCTCCTTGAAAACCCTATGGGGCATTTCTACTCCTCCTATAGGGTCGCTATGAGTTGAATCGACTTGAAGGTAACAGATTTGGTTTTGGTTTTTAAAACCGTAGTTATGAAGGTTAAAGGGGTTAATATTTGTGGAAACGTTAGAACTGTGTCTGTCGCTGAGAAAGCACTAGTTAAATCAATTTTAAAACGCTACGGTAGCAAACATTCGTATGATGGTCACCCTGTGCCAAGCATTGCTTGGCGTGCTTTACACATATTGGAACATTTAATCGTCACTTCTAGCCATAAGGCAGGTACTGTCTCCATTTATAGATTAGGAAAGGGAGACAGAGAGCAGTTACATCACGTGCCCAGGGTCACCATCTAGAAAGGCCAGAGCTGGAAATTCATCCAGCTAGCCTAGCTTTAGCATCCATACTCTTGGCTATTGTGCTAACCTGCTGTCTGCTAATTCAAGGCTGCCCCATGTGGGGTTCACATGCACTGCAAAATTCTAGTTGACACCATTCACCTCCTATATATGGTGTTGTACAACAGAACAAAACACTGCCCGGTCCTGCGCCATCCTCACAATTTGCTATGTTTGAGCCCGTTGTTGCAGCCACTGTGTCAGTCCATCTCATTGACGGTCTTCCTCTTTTTCGCTGACCCTCTACTTTACCAAGCATGATGTCCTTCTCCAGGGACTGGTCTCTCCTGATGACATGTCTAAAGTATGTGAGAC